ATCCTAAGGCAAACTCAATTTAAGATCCCATTACTGAAAAATTCCCGGAAGATGGATCACCAAGGATGCTAAATAAGCCATAGCGATATCAAACTATGACGGAGGATGAAGATTTGACATAAATGCGATGTCTGTGTAGAGGTTTAAACAATAAAAGAGATGTTTAAAAAGGGATATTCAGCCCAATACCTGTCGGCGTTCTTTGTGAAGTTTTGCGAACTGCCTGAGTAAATTTATTAGCGTTCCTTTGCCAAATGAATGCTGCATGGATGCATGGAAAGCAACAGTTGGTAATTCCGCCGATAACAGTGTCAACCATTTTTTCTAAAATTCAAACACATGCTCTATAATTGTAAGAATACAATTTCAAAGAAAAAAAATGTACAGATAAATATAACAGGAAAAACTACGACACCAAAATAATGGAGATTGAAGGAAATTTTCTGTGATGAGTTTTTTTTAATGCAATCGCTAGTCATACTCATTAATTCTCTTTCATGGAGGTCTAAGAAGACTCACAAAGCTATAACCCATCCAGATTTGACCTCACCGAGAAGCAAAGGCAGTAGCAGTAAAAATAACCATTTCTGCTAACAAGGCTTTCCATGGCTGCTCTTTTGTGGATGCTTAGAAGCAAGCTGATGGCAGATTTGATCCCTTGACATTTGCCTATGCCAGTTCACCACCAAAACGAATGAAGAAACTTAGTCGAAAGCGTACCGACTGCCGATACGAGGATGCGTTTTTTGCACAGTTTCCCTGCAGGTTTTTTGGTCAGTGGCACGCTCTTTCTGCAGATGTTTCTAGCTAAAAGAATTGTACTGCCCACCACGACAGTTAGAAATTATTACAATGACTCCCACTCCATGCCCAAAAAATCTACCGCTATGGATGCTTCGGTTGCGGAGTTACGCCAAATTTCACGTGTTCGTACGTGAGTGGCTACGTGAGTGCTTTCTTTGCTTGCTGTTACTTAAACATGGCCCTGGGCAGTGCTCAGAAAGTTTCAACACTCCAGCTGCTCTGGTTGCAAAGTTACGTCAAATTTCACGTGTTCGTACATAAGTGGCAACGTGAATGCTTTCTTCGCCCGCAGTTGGTCAAACACGGTCCCGGGTAGTGCTCAGAAAGTTTTAGCACTCCAGCTGCTTTGGTTGCAGAGTTACGTCAGATTTCACGTGCTCGTACATGAGTGGCAATGTGAGTGCTCTCTTCGCCCGCAGTTGGTCGAACACGGTCCTGAGTAACGCTCAGAAAGTTTCAGCACTCCAGCTGCTCTGGTTGCGAAGTCACGTGAAATTTCGCGTGTGTACGCATGAAACGTACGTAAGTGGCAACGTGAAAAACAAAGAAATGCAGAAGGACTGACTGAGCTACTGGCGGAGAAGAACCCTTCACTTCCAGCAGAAGAGCAGCGTCACTTGCCACTGCGCCATGTTTACCAACAAAAACAGGCAAAGTAAATTTTTTCTTTTCAAAAAATAACTTAATATTTGTAATAGAAGATAAATTTATGTTAAAACTAAAAATATACCGTAACCCAGGTTGGCACCAAATCAACTTTGTTGAGGACCAAAATCAAATGTTTGTGAGGTTTTTCTTTTCGCAAAAATTGTTCCACATGAAGGCATCGAGTA